GTGAGGCAGTGGCTTATTCCACAGTTCGGATGGATGGCAGTTGGAGCAGAGGCTGCACACTTTGTCTGTGGGACCTGCATTTCCTTCTTTCTGGGGTGCTCTACCTGGACCATAGCAGAAGACTGCACTGTGGTTGGCCTGGGTTCATTGCTTTCACTACTGTAGGTGAATTCTTCAGTCTCATAAAATATTATTGCTCTGGGGATCCCCAGGCATGAGACTTGATCTAGTATATGTATGGGGGAGATGTCCACTTGGTTTCCTTACGCTCCTTGCATGTGCACACCTACAGGTGCATGCATGCTTTCTTGTCCCTGCAACAAGGATGCTGCCACAATTCTGGTCTGTTGTTAATTAAAGAGGTTTGGCAGGCGTGACTGGCCTCCTCTGTGGTACAACAAGGGACAGGAATGTAGTCTCTGGGGTACAAGTCTCTCAACAGGCTGAGCTTTGTTAAGCTTTCCTTAAGGTTGGAAACTGGTTGCTCCTTTCCTAGTTCTTAATGTCCAGCTCTGATCCCAAGACCAAGCCACCCACCCTCTCTTCTCCCTGAGGAGAGGCTACTTGTATAGCCCTGAGAGATTACAGCCACTGACATAATCTCAATCTATATTACACACAATACACCGGGGAGGTGATCGATGCTTGCTGCCACTCTCAGGTCAGGACAAAACACCCCTGGCAGAATGAGGTCTCCCTTTTCAAGCTGCCTATGTGGCACTGATAGATCTTAGCTGTACAGCAGTCTCCTTCCTTGTGATATACTGTACACATGTACGTTCAGCCATTTGACTGTTTGCTAGAGCGTTGGGGATAAACTGATCTCTACATAGGAGCTATGGAAACTAAGTGGCTATGCACACCCTCAAAAACATCCCAAACAGTATCTCTTGCAGGATCTCATGGCAGGAAAGAGGATCAGAATAGCACAGGTCACGCAGTGCCTGCTCTGCTCCACTCTTCTCTGGCTCACCCACAGAGGCTCTGCTGAGGATTGTGAAGCACAAAAGTGCTGCAGGCTTTAATCTAAGATCCTTTCAGGGAAAGCTTCAGCCTGTTGGAATGGACCACATAGGCAATCAAGGCCAGGACAAAGATGGTCCTCTTCCCAGGAACCAGTGGAATTTGGGGGTCTTTGCGTGAAAGCACACATCTTATTTCTTGCAGTAAGCTTGCCATACTATTTTTTACAAATACTCAGACCTCTGCTGCAATGGTATTTACACAGCACTTTATGGGGTATCAAGAGAGCAAGGGTGATGTCCTTAACAAACAGGATTATCCACTTGAACGGACACAAACACAGATACCGGAATTTAAGCGTATCATTTAGGCAAATAGCTGTGGTACTATGTACCCAATCACACTGCAAACAACCTCTTCTGAATTTAAAAACTAGTTAATCATAACAAAAGAAAAACTTCAAATATTTTAAAAATTAAGGTAGATGCACTGCCCTTGGGAAGATGGAGGATTTTACTGCAGTATATAAACTGTTGCCCAATTCTTCCCTTTGAGATGCTAAACACATGCTTGTTGTACTGCTTTTGCCTCAATTACCTAAATGCACTTTTCACTTCCCAGCAGACAGTGATTTTCTTCCTCCTCATAGACGTGAACGCTGTATTCTTTATTACACAAATATTCATGGTTTTTCAAACTTTACCCCAGTGCTCAGCTGAGGACCCTTGTTTGAAAGTGAAGATGATGTCTCTCTGCTGGGAATAGGAGGGAGTGATTCAGGGGGTGTCCTTCAGCAAGGGGAGCAGCCCAGCAGGAAGGAAAGCCCTGCAACCACAGGCACTTAGAGCTGTGGGAACATGTATTCCCCCGGGAGGCTCCCAGTGGAAAAAATCAGGACTGCTACAAACAAGAAAAAAAAAAATCCACTTTCTGTGTTTATGGGAGATTTTAAGTGAAGTAAAAACATGACACTGGACACAAAGGTGTTTGCTTCACAAAATCACCTCCAAATCAAGAAAGAAGAGCGAGCAGGTGCAACTTCTAAAACAGTCTCTGTGTATCATAAACGTACGATGATTCATATGGTGAGCATGATCTTTCCTGAATATCCAAAGAGTAAGACACGATTCCTCACATCACATGGAACCTTGTGATAACCATAAAATTGATGTGACCCACTGCATCACACGTAGTTAAGTGGGTAATTAAAGGAAGATTAATCAGATGCATAACTACTTGAAACATTAAATTCTCTTCACCATCATAAAGAAATATAGCTGTAGAAGGTGGTGATGTATTCCCTAGGGGAAGCTTGCACCATATTATCTCTCTCTTCTGTAAAAGTGTTAAAATGCAAAAAAAATTAGCTTTGACTGATGAACTCAAAAGTAATGGCCCCATTCTGGGTAGCTGTAAATCCAGAGTTAAAAGCCTGCACAAACACAAAGCTGTTATACAAGCCGATAAATAGATTAGCCCTCCCTGTCCTGAGGATCAGGGCAAAAATCACCATCTTGGGAGAAATCAGGTGATCCTCCCAGGAACATCCCTACACTTCTTGTAGGCTGACAAGACCGCAAATTATCAGCTCAACAGATGTATAGTGAGCTTGGTCTGGCTGAAAACAAGAGGCGAGTCCAGCAGTGCTGGAGAGAGAGTGCAGAAAATGGAGTATTTCACTGACAATGTGAAATATTAGAGAAAAGGGAAGGAAGTGTGCATTTAGAGTGATTTGTAGGTCAGCAAAAGGCAAATTAAAGGTCTAAGCTGGGGAGAAGGAGAAAGCTGAGGGGATATAAATGCTCTGTGGTCATAGGTATGTTAGAGGCATAGCACAGTTATTTGGACGACATGGAAAACATGCAAGGAGCAACTGTAGGTCACAGGACACTGAAGAAAAGCAAGTTGTGTCTTTTTGGACTGTGAGCATCTGTCATGCAGGGAGAAGGCAAGTTGGGGACAATCCTGGGGCAACTTTCAGCAGCATCTTCAGCCCCAGTTCTGTGCTCCAGAGCAGCTGGCCAGCTTTTGAAAGTGAGCATTCAAGTCCCTAGGTTTGGCTAGGGACCTGGGAGACTGTGTAGTCAACAGTCTGGAAACACATCCGTTCCAAGAAAAAGTTTTTCCTATCCCCCTACATGAACAAAGCTGGGAACTAATAGGAAGACAACACACAACTTGGCAGGAATTGTAGCATGACTGGTTCATTCAGGTTGTGCAGGCCTGATCTGTGCTGAAGTTTAGACCGTATGTGCTGCTTTAATCCACCAGCCAGTCCAGACAACCTCCTTTCCCAGGAAGGCTTTCATCTTTCAAAGAATTAGCCTGGCTGCACCACTCCAAATCCACCACTGACCATACATTGTTCTGCCATGATTTTGATGTTTAAGACCGGACAAAGATTGATCGTAAGGGAACCACAAGCCACAGGGAGTACTGCTTTACAACCTGAAGTTTGGAACAGCAGGGGCAAATAAGGCCACAAGTACCTCATTTTAAAATAAGTCCACACTGGACAAAGCTCTGTCATTTCTTTTTAATGAGTTTCAAGTGTACAGTGAAGCAAAACAAGGGGCCACTTACCTTTATTCCAGCCATGCTCCAAGATATGCTGTGAGCTACTCTTGGAGGTCTTCATCTGGATCCTGAACGTATGTCCCAACACCAATGGAGAATTGCTTTCTGGGTTTAAGGATCCTAGGATAGGTTATTGAAACCCAAAGGCATCACAGCCTGAGGAACTAGAGCTACCAGTAACACACCATCCGATGCAGGGGACTACCTCCTCATGCATTACACAGCAGGTAGACATTTGGTGGCTGGAAGTAAGAGTTCGCTTGGGCAGCCTCTTCCACAGCTGCTGGTTCATACTTCGTGTTACAGACTTACCAGAGTCAGTCCAGCACACGGTTCCAGTACAACTGGAACTACCATCATTTTAATGGAAAGCCAGCCACTGCTTTGAGGGCCAGAACTTCAGGTGTGTGTATAGTATGAAAGTGACAAAAAAAAAGAGATGTTCCAAAACCAGTTTGGTATCCCAACCCCTCCCCACCCACTGACAGACCAGACAGACTCAGTAAGGTGGCGAATTGTGTTTCTTAGAGACCATTAAAAGTACATGAGCTGATTAGTATAACATGCCAGAGGAGATTACAGTTGTGTTTATAGAGGAAGGAAATAAACTGCACGTGCGTGAGTGGCTGTAATGCTGTGAACAGCAGAGTCCCTTGCTTTTACTCAGAGGGCCTTGGTGATTTTTTTCTTTGCCCATGCATAGAGACACAAGGGAGGGGAAAGGGAGCAGAAGAGGCAACATACAACATTTAAGAGAAAGAAATGGAAGAGAGAGCCTAGGGGGACCTCAGCCCCCAAAGGAACAGGAAGAATGTGGCACCAAAGGCTTGTTTAGAAGAGTTCAAGAGAATTGCTGGTCTGTGGGCCTCAAGCTTGTATGCCCACCCCCTAAAATGATAGCAGTAAGTAGTACAAGCAGGCCCTGGCTCCTCTTCAGTAGATGCACTTCTGACCGTCCATCACATCTGTTCCACAGGGAATTAGGGAAGTGCTCAGGGGACGAGGGCTGCTTCACTCCAGATCTTCACCTCTGCCCTCACCCAAGGTGGAGAGGGATGGAATTGCAGGGAGATGAACTCAGTGCAAATGAAATGCTGGGGCATGGAAGTGAGCATGCAAAACCTAGTCCCTTCCCAGATGCCCAGTGAGGAGGAAAGGGGCTTCCCCAGCACACCCAGTGAAACCAAAAGCATCTGCCCTTCCCATCTTTGCTACTTCACTCCCATCTGGGAACTCCAGTGATGTTCTCCCCTGCCTCCCCATATCCCCTTAAGCCTAGGCAGATGCCAGTGTATTCTAGAACTGAGGCAGAGCTTCCTAAACTAAAGGAGTTCCCTCTTCCCACTCTAGATGACAGGCTACAGCTCAGCTTGTGAAAAAGAAAACAAACAAAAGAACAAAAATCACCCAAAAAAACCCAACAACAAAAACCACTAAACAAACGTTCTGCAGTCAGACTGCAGAAACTCAGGAACAGGGCAGCTCACTTAACCCCAGGTTTGACAACACATTCAAGCAATTCACAGCTCTTGTTATTTTTCATGGAGGAGAACAAGGGAATTGCTTACAGAAAGCCACAGCATTCCACACTGCAAGTTTACTTCCAGCGGAGACCACCTTGGATCTAAATTCAAGAGAACCCATGGCAAGTAGGAAGATTTCAGTTTGATAGGCAAGATCTCTAGAGATCTAAGCTGCCAGACTGGGACATCTGATGTCACTTTGCAATACCCATGCCGAGAGCAGCATTTTCCTTTGAATCCCCTACCTAGCCATTCCAAGTATTTTCTAACTCCCGCTGAAAGTTCAGGCTTTGTGGCAGCACAAACAGAACAGGTATTCTTAATCAGAAAGCTGTGTGGCTCATTCAGTCTCATCAGGAATACCTCCAGTCTCCTTCACATCTCCAACTATGTAGTGGATTTCCTTTGACATTCAACCCAGTAACACAAAAGCAAAACACCCATTCCCATTCTGCCACTACCCCAAAGTCTTCCAGAAAGCTACAAGACAGTAGAAAGCCACAGGGTCCTGGCTTGTGTCTGCATAGACGAAAGGAATATCTGACACCCCCCACCAGACTCCTTACTGTTGTTCCTTTGTTCCTTCTGGCAGGAGATTTTACTCCCACATGTGCCTTTTAGATAGTAAAAAAACCCCTCCTTTCACTTAAGTGTGTTTAGTCTGTTGCACTTGACTGAGGTAATCACATAGGTTCTCCTTTATAATAACTGAAATGGCCACGTTCAAACAGCAAGTCATCTGAAAATAAGGACAGGCAGAATAAATCATTTAAGTGCTCATCTCCCCATGGCTAGAGAAATCTATATCACTACATCTAGCTCAGTCAGATGGCTCACAGTCACTGACCAGCACAAACTAGCCTTTATTTCAGAAGCTCACTGAAAAGCTTAAGTCATGCTGCCACTCTTTCTAGGCAGAACACTAAAGAATCTCACATGCAGAAGTCCTTCATCCCCAAAGGCACTGCATTAAGGCATTCTTATTTTGCTAGAGTCCATACAGGCACTATTTGAGAAGCTCACACCCAAAAATAAACCACATAAATTCCCTGCAGAAGAGCAGCAGCAAGAGCTACCCACTCCTCCTCTACTTCCCTTTCCTCAAAACTCAGATAACCCTCCCTAAAGCTGCAGCAGCTGTTGAAGAGTTTAACCATGTTCAGTAGAGTGCTTCAGAGTCCTATACAGAAGACAAATCAAAACCAATAAAGAAATCAATGAAGAAGCTAGGTGGAAGGGAAGGAAAGATTCAGGGGCAAGAAGAGACAGGCAAGGTGACAGGGGACAGTAGGTTGCAGACTGAAGGAGCTACATTCAAGTAAAAAAGTAGACTGGAGACAAAGCAATAGGGGAAAAAAAGGAAAGAACAAAAGGGCAAGTTACACCAAAGGTGCCCCCCAAGACCTCCAAATCCCCCACCAGGGAAGGGACTTGCCAACCCACCCGCTCCAGGGCAAATGCCCCTCATACTTACATGTTTACCTGACCTGGCAGAGAGAATTGCCCATCTCTACAATGATGGCCACCCCCAATTCCTTCTGCTACTATGTAAAGCATACCATTTCCAAAATAAGCGTGGGAGTTCCAGCACGCCCTCCTCCCTTCCCCAAGGACTGAAGTTAACACTTATGCAATCAAGACCCTCCAGATCTCAAACCAAAAAGTTTAAAGTACTGGAGAGTTGGTGCTTCTCCACCCTTGATCCCGGGCTTTTTGGTACTTACTTACAATCACCGCCACCACAATGGCACCAATCACTCCCATCATGATCATCATCTGGAGAGAGAGATTGGCAAAGAGCAATACTCAGAACAGATTGACAAGTTCACATATTCCCTGACACCCAGGGAACATCAGCCAGACCCTGAAGGTAGGACAGCCAAGGCCTCAAAGTCTTTCCACAGTAAAAGAATCCTAAGCATTTGAAATCATTATTAAGCCCCAACTATCCTCTCAAAGCCCTGCAGGAGAGGACCAGCCCAATTTCCTTCTGATGAAGGAGGTCAGGGCACTAGGAAACTCACCTTGCAGTTCTTCCACCAGTACTTCCTTTTGAGTTTTGCTGCGCTACTTTCAAATTGTGAGGCACCGGCCTGAAGGGCATCTGCACGGTCATCTAGCTCTGACAGTTTCTCGTCTCGTTGCAGCACCTTGTCTACATTTACACACATTATATCAACCACCTGCAGAAGGAAGAATAGTAGCAGCAGTTGTATTGGTAAAGAGAGTTGAAAAAGTAAGAGGAGTAACTTGGCCAATAACTAACACTGAGATACTAACAAATGAAAGCTCTAAACAAGGAAAAAGGGTCAGGATAAGAAACAGTTTTCAAGTCATTGCCTACTTTGAAGTGGGGGAAAAAATCCTAGACCCCGTGTTAAAGTATCAGTTCAACTACACTTAAACCAGGTCCTTGGCCCCACATTCTCATCACCCATCTTTAAAAGCTCTCAAATCCAGCAAGTCTAATTCACTCCCTTCATGAGAGTAATCATATGCTCACTCCCCAGTAACTGCAAAAATAAGTTAGAGCTACATGTTGCTGCCCCAGTGAGGCATAAAGGCGTTACTGCATGTCAGCAGCCACACCACAGACACTGACCCTGGAAAGTCAGACAAGGTTCCCCCCACATCACACACTGAGTCTGCACACAGACTGTTCCCTTGAAGCAGCAGGCAGGGATTAAGATCCAGTTGTTCTGGATGCTGTATAGCTTTATTTCCATAACAGATGCACGCTAGGAGGTACCAAAAATCTAACAGGCCCGCTCCTTAGAAATCCTATCTGGAATTAAGCAGCTTTTAAACATAAAGCAATCTCTCCTCCAGCCTCTTTATAGATCTGCCATCACCTTTTGAGTATGAATGCGTTTCTGGCGTTGGCATGACAAGAGCATCCACCCCCTCAGCAACAGACGCCTGTCAAGAACATCACTGCTGCAGAGCGGTAGGAAAAAAAGAGCGCAGGCAGCCTACGGGAAGCCAGCGCGGCTGGCAGGGTTACCAACCTCCTTCATTTGGGCCTGCGTCTGCTGCAGCCGACGGTTACTGCTCACATTGGTGGCTTGTCCAGGGGGGGCCCCACCAGGGGCTCCCCCTTCGGGGGCCTCGGGAGCAGGTTGCTGAGCTGCATCAGACCTAAGGAAAGAGATGAGTAAAGAGAAAAACCCAGACACTCAAGAGAAAGGACCCCCACACGCACACTCTCCCCAAAAATCCACCTGGACCCCAGTACCCCCAGGGCTGGGGCAGTGCTGGCTGTTGCCCCGATGGCCTGCACCCTTTCTAGACACCCCCACACACCGGACAAGGAGGGGACGAGCTGAGGGGAGAGCCCGGAGCAATAGCAGACCCAGGAGGGCAGCGGGGGAAGCCCGGCCCCGGGGGGGGGGGGTGGGGTGTGCCCGGCGCTGCAGCCTCCCGGGAGCCGGGAAGGGAGACCGGGAGGGGGACCCGCAGCGTGCCACAAGGACCGGGACGAGGGTCACGCTGACGGGGAGACACAGCGCGGGGTGGGGGGGGCACCCCGGGGACGGGGACACGGCAGCCCCCGGACGGCTGGGCGCAGCGGTGGCCGCCGGCCAAGTTGACAGCGGCAATGCGCCACTCGGACCTCACCGGCCAGGACGCGGGAGTCGTCTACTATGGGCCTGTTCCCTCCCGTTCCACCCACACAAACACCCCCCCCGCCCCCCAAAGCCACGGCCGGACGGACACTCACATCACGGAACCGGACCGGGACCCCCCCACGGACGCGCCGCAACACCGAGCTCCACACCCCGCCAACTAAAAGCGCCGGCGGCAGGGTTCCCGTACTTATAGGCGGCGAGGCCCCGCCCCTAGAGCCAACAGCCACTCACAAGCGGCCGCAGGAAGGAACAGCGAATCAGCGCCCCCTTTGGATTTCTCGGCAGCCAATCAACGCTCCGCCGCCCTGCCGGAGCGAGGCGCACTGTGATAGACGGCCGTTTAGCCGAGCCCCTCCTCCTCCCTCGCTCCCGACTTTCCACGGGACAAACCCCGCCCCACCCCGTGACTGGCTCTCAGGGTCGCCCAATGGGAGCAGAGCCCGCCCCCGCCCGGCACCCCGCCCCTGCGGCGGGACCGGTGGTGCGTCCGCCTCCCGCCACCCCCGGGGCTACCACGGCCCCTCTCCCGGTCGCCAAATGGGGCCCGGGCGGCCACCGGACCCGCCGCCCGCACCAGCCCTGAGGGAAAACCCCCTCGCCGCCACCCTCCGTTGGGGTCACGCAGGGCCTGAGACCCGTCCCCGTTGTTTTCCCGGTTCGAGGCCAGCCCCGCGGCGGTGCCGTGAAGAGGCGGGGGCCGTGGAGCGGCTCCGTAACTCCCACCTCCGTAGCCCGTTGGCTCCGGTTAAGCCGCCGTCCCCTCAATTAAGAGATGGCGTCGCTGGCCAGCTTCCACCCCACCGCACGGCCTCAACAGGGACGCCAAGGAAGCAGCCGCGGCCCAAGCCCTGAGAACAGCTACTACGCGTTTGGTTTCTTTTCCCCCTCTAAAGATTTTTTTTTGAGAAGCCTGCTGGATCGGAAGGGAGGATTCTTCAATTTGGGACAAACAGGGAGGCAGGAGCACAGCAGAACAAGAAATCTCCCCATACGGCGTTTGGTGCGGTGAGTGGGGTGAGGAGCAACTGGTTCACAACTTGTCCTTTCATAAGGTGATACAGGCCATTTAATAAAAGTTTTTAGCATCAGATCCGATAGATTAGTAGATACACAAGACAGGTTATAAATTATAGCCTGGGAGCCAAAAGACTGCAGCTACAAGGAAGGTGAAAACTTAAAACAGGGTTGTGACTACAACCAGGGGATTTGCAGATAGGACTACTGGGGGTTAAGGAGCAGCCTAGCACTAGCCTCAGCAGAACTGAAGGTTTTTAAGCTGTGCCTTCAGACAAGCTGAGAAGAAGCTTCTGTAGCTTGGCGACCTTCCCGCCGCAGCGCGAAGACCGTTCCAATAACAATTGCGAATCACGGAGGATGGAGCTTGTGGAACTACCGGTCCACAGAGCCCTTGCCAAGTCGGTGCTTAAGGACTGAGAGGCGACAAAGGCTACGTGATGCTTTTCTCTGATGCTTTTCCAGTCACTGATATACTTTCAGCTAAGGATTTACTACACCTGTGGTTTACATATGTAATAACCCCTAGCTGCTCTCTTCCAGGTGCTTGCTCAGTCTCCACTTGGATCCGTGGACATTTCTTGAAGCCAGAACAACTTCTGGCAAAGAGTCCCACAGGTCTGCCACCCTGCTCTGAGAACATGGACTTCAGCTGCCTGAACAGAGGCTTTGGCTTCACCTTCCTACGGCTTAGACCTCAAAGGAGTTCTTTCCATTCCCTGCCGCTTCCAGCCAAGTACTTTTAAAAGACAGGAGTAGCATTGCTGTGTAACAAAATACATCAAGTCAGCAGGTAACTCCCCAATTACCTAGCAGCCAAATTAACAACTAAAGGAGAAGAGAGAGGCAAATACCTGCTCATCGTACAGATTTTTCTGAAGTATACAACAGTCTTTGACTTACTGTAACTTCTCCCCTAAAGGAACTGGTAACAGTTATAGAAAACTAGAAGCTAGAGTTTTTTGAAACAGTTAAGTGCCTGAACAACTTTTGCAAATCCTGAGTAAATTAAGAGGAAAAGGCCGCTTGGTGAGTAGGTGTCATTAGTGCGGGGTTATGTCATCATCAGCGTGAAACAGAGACAAATCCTGTTCTTAAGACACATTTTGATGCATTTCAACTAATGCTTGGATCGTTCACGGTTTAATATTAATCACAGATAAATGGAGGGCAAGGAGGCAAGCAGTGAGCAGGAAGACATATTAGCAGGCACTCTTAGCACTAACTTGAAAATTTGGCTATGAGCAAAAATCTAAGCTGGAGCATACTGAAATTGTCAAGCAGGACACGAGGACCTGGGGCTCACAGCAACCGAAAGGATGCTAGAAGCCTGGCCAAAAAATAGAGGACTCTCAGGTCAAGTTCTGGGATGCAGACTGTAACAGACGTCTGCGAGAAGTGTGTCAGAAATGATTGAGCATGCAGAACTTGCACAGAGGAGCTCGGGCCTGGAGCGGCAGCAGGACTTTGGGACTGGGCCAGAAACGCACCGTGAAGGTTGCAGAAAGCACTGGGAACCCAACTGTGTGAAAGCCGGCTTTATTCTGACCGCGATGCCGCAAAACCACGCTCCACGTGCTGAACCCACGGTTGTTCCTAGCGGTGCTTCCCGGTACGATTGAAGCGCCTGTACAAGTATCGGATCCTCTTGCTGAGTTTGTGGTAGTCCTCTACAAACATCCGATCTCCCACCATCTGCTTCTTGCGGATGCACCTCTGCAACTCGTTTCCCTTCCACCCTTGCAGCCACTTGGGCCCCACGATGAGGTTCTTCGGGTGGAGCTGGAAGCCGCCTGACAACAGGAGGTCAGAGAGGATGAAGCCAGGCCCTGGAGGAGGCTGTTCCCGGGGCGGCCGGCCCCTGTTTACCCCCCTACACCCCCCTCCTGCCTTCTCGCTGCTGGAGAAACCGCCCAGGTGGGTCCGGCCTCCCTCCCCTCCAACCGCAACCGGGAGCGGGGTCTTACCCAGGATCCCCACGTTATCGTAGACCCCGAACAAGGCCCGTTTTTCCGTCCACCGATCCACCTCCTTACGCTTTGGGGGTTCCTTGATGCGGAAGGCTCGCGTCAGCCCTGCCAAGGGTGAGGAGAAGGGCACGGGGAGGCCGGGCCGCACCGGCCCCCAGCGGGCCCCGCCGCTGTTAATGCTGCGTTCGGTCCGGACCAGGGGAGCGGTCCGGCCCAGCAGGGCTCGCCCCACCGTCCGCACCAGCACCGCCATGGGGGTGACCCGGCGGGCGGGCCAGTTCCCCCCCCCCCGCTACCGGGGAAGGGGAAAAAGGAAGAGGAAGAGGAAGAGGAGCGGTTCCGTCCGCCCGCCCCGTGGCTCCGACCCGGGTCCTTCCGGTCGCTGTGGCCGTCGGGAAAACGGAAGGAGGAGGGTGTGGCGTCACGCTAACGGTCGGAGAAGGGGGGGGGGGAAAGGGAGCCGGCGATTGGGCGAGGCGCTGGCGGGCGGCAGCGCTGCTGGGCGCTGATAGGCTGGGGAAGGAGGGGGCGGGCCGAGCGCGGCCCGCGCGCGGTGTTTTGAGTTACCGGGGCCCTGCCTGAGGAGGAGGCCGCGGCCTGTGGGCTTATGGCGGGGGCTATGGCGGCGGCCCGGGAGTTCCACCTGCCCCTCTCCCCCGCCGATCTGCTGCGGGACTGTGGCCCTGGGCGCTACGTAGTGCAGGAGGTGCTGCCCGCCCGCGAGCTGCCGCCCGCCCTCACGGGTA